AAAATTAACCTTTCAATAAAGCAGTTTTCTTTTTTGGCAAATGCACATGTTTCAAAGTCTCTTTTTCTGGTTAAGAGCTGCATGTTGAATCCATTCGATTTTGCAGTTTTGCCCAGTGCATTTCCTGGCTCCCTCTCTTTTTCATTAAAGGCAGAAATCCAAGCAATTTCTTGCTTCTCATCAGTAACAATATCAACTAAAATCAGAGACTCAACTTTTATTCCAAAGGAACACTTAAAAATAATTTTCAGAAATCTCTAAATGTGCTTGAAAAATTGGACAGTTATCCTCCCCTGAAACTGGATATAAACACTGCAATGAAAAAGGAAAGGAGAGCTGCTGAAACACTTTCTCTCACTTTTTACTAAACATCTGAACGGTCAACAGCATTTTTATTGAATTAAAAAAAATCTTGAATCCCCTCAGAAATCTTTACATTAAAAAAAGTTTCAAAACATATTTAAGAGAGCTCACTTCCTCCCTAATGTGTACTGTTTGGAGAAAACAGAACAAAACATTCTGAAACACACTCCACACCAAATGGGAATACTCTTTACTTGTAACGAATGCACAAAACTCTCCTTACTAGTAGTTGAAAATGGAGCTCAACACTCACATTGAATTTGAAATATGGCCCCTCACATCCTGATAGAAGCAATCACATCTGTCACCTGTGATCAGTCTTGCATGCTTCCTTGTAAAGTCAATAAAGCCATCTAAACATATTATGTGTCACAAATGGGGTAAGCTTCAGTGAGGCTATTGTCTTATTTTCTTGATTGCCTGCTCTAATTATTTAAAGAGCAGCTTAAGAGTTATTTCACTTATTATGCATCCAACTGCCTTAAATAAACTCAGGAGGACTTTAATAATTCCGATTAGAAGTGTTTCTATATATATATATATATATATATATATATATATATATATATATGCCTAGGTGTGACTCATAGAAAGTCCGCTTTAATAATTATGGGATGAAACTTTAGCATCAAGATTGTTAAAAGAAGTTCTGAGGTTATTTGTATAAGTAGCAACATTTGAGAGCCACTTGTTCCACTAGGTGTCTGACCCCAGTCCCTTCAGCAAGGAGCAGGGAATCCTGTGGACTAGCTCCTTTTTCTTCATTTGCAGCTTCACTACATATTTCCCTTAGTTCTTAGCAATTTACCCTCCACACTTCAACCAGGCTTCACCCGCCTTTGAGTTACCCAGTCAAGCAGAGGAGGCAGCACAAAAGGAGGCACGCCAGGAAAGAACGAAATCCAAGGAGAAGTGTAATAAACTCGGGATGGGGCACAGGAGTAATCTGCCTAGGGTGCCAGGGATGGCTTCACAGAAGAGGTGACCAGTGAGCTGGAAGAGTATGTAGGACATCATCAGTGGAGGCCTAAGACACCAAATGGCTGAGCAGAAATGTCTTAGGAAGGGTGCTATCAACTAACTGTACTTGCAAAAAGGCACATAAAGAAAGATAACTGATACGCCTTAAAGCAACTAGTCAGAGCCTTTTAACTTCTACTCTAATGACTGTTCTTACTTTCTGTTTTAGTAATTGAACCTCTAAATTTTAGTTGGGCTCATGGCCCCTGAGAAAAAATCCATTTCCCATTTGTCAATATGTGTCTGTGTGACTAACTTCTGACCAATGAGACATAATAGAAGTGTTGCAAGGCAATTTCCAGGAAACTTAAAAGACACAGTAAAAGACAACTGGTGCATTCCATTTGCCTCTCGTTTGTTTCGACTTTCTGCTCCCTGCAATGACTGGTGTCCCAGCCATCATGTTGGTCCATGAGAGTGAGGGCTATACTCTAGGGATTGTGGAAGAATGATTTGGAAAATTCTAGGTTGCTGAAATACACAGAATTGCCATACTAGCTCTGGACTGCCAACTTATGGACTTCTTTTTTTCTCAAGAGACAGAAATAAACTTATTTAGGTCACAGTTTTCTTTTTTGTAAAACAGAGATAACAGTACTCACTTCACTGGTTATTGTGAAGATTAAGTGAGTTTATATAAGTAATGCACTTGGAATGATGACTGGCCTAGTAAGTGACAATTGTACATACATAATAATTATATACATATATTATATATATACTATGTATATATATTTCTTAGGTCTTGTCTTGGGCTACTTCTCAGTCTACACTCTAGGTCAGAGGTCAGCAATCTTCAGCCTGTGGGCCAAACATGACCCACCACCTGTTTTGTAAATAAAGTTTACTGGAATACAGCTTTTATTTGTTACATATTGTCTGTGGCTGCTTTTGTGCTATCATGGCAGAGTTGAGTAGTTGCAAGAGAGACCTTATAGCCTGCTGAAAATATTTACCACCTGGTATTTTGGAGAAAAAGTTCGCCAAGCCCTGCTTTAGGCGATCTCATCTTGTCTCAGTTTTAAATACTAATTATGTGCAACATCCATGTGGATATCTCCATCCCAGATGTCTCCTCTGAAACCAGGATCCTATATCCAACCATCAACTTGACATCTCCATTTGCCCAACCAACGGGCATCTCCAACTTCATTTCTAAAATCTGTTCCTCTCACAGTAGTCCCATCTTGGCACCACCATCCACCTGGGAGCTTAAGCAAATAACCTTCAAGCCAACTCTTTTCTTCCCTTCACTACCTAAATCCAATCCATTAGTAAGTTCATTGGTTATTCCTCCAAAATATATGTTTAATCCAACTACTTCCTTCTCTCCGTTGCCATCATCGCAGTCCAAACCATCATCATCTCCTAACTGGACTCCTTTCCGGCTTCCTCATTAGCTTTGGGCCACTTTAATATTTTCTTGACAGAGCCACCAAAGAGTGATGTTTTACAGGCTGCAAATCAGATAATGTTTCTTCCTTGTTTAAAACCTTCAGTGGCTTTGTACTGTATTTAGAACAAAATCCAAACCTCTACCAAAAGGTGGTCCTTCCCCACTTCTCATCAATCCTCCTGCTTCCTTGACATAAACCAAAACAGCATCCTCACTGTTCCTTGAGCACGCCAAGTTTTTGCCTGCCTCAATTCAAGGACGCTGCACATGTTCTTCCCTCTGTCTGATACATTCCTCCCTTCAGCTCTTCACAGGACAGAGCCCTTCTCATTCATTTGGATGGAGCCTAAATGACACTTTGTGTGCCAGGAGCCTCTTGATTCCATCGGAGACCTGAAAGCCCTGACACTCTTCACATACATAACAACACTTGCTCGCTCAGAAAAATGATGGAGGACTCTCTGTGCACCAAAATCCATGTGCATTAAAAAAAAAAAAGATAAAATGTTACATATTGCAATAAGTGGATTATCTTAGGCTTGAAAGTTCCTGGGAGATATCTGTCTGTCTAAAATTGATCCAGTTTGTTCTTTTATATCTTCGTTACAAGAGAACAGAGATAGAGCTGTTTATTAAACCCACCTCAGTTGAGGTTATGGAATTACAAATAAAGATCATCAGTGCCAATCACCTCTGCCCCAGAAAAGATTATGAAAAGGATTGAGACATTTCCTGCCCCAGGAAGTAACTACTCAAATTCAGGAAAGTTCCCTTTAAAAATGTAAAGAAGCATGAGTCTCGATCTTACCACTGAAGTGCTGAAAGCACATCTACTACATTTTGGCAGAAACTAAAGAGGTGCACAAAAACTTTTCGACCATGTTTTCTTGGATTGTTGAGGTCTGGAATCTTTGGACTCATTGCTTTTGAAAAGGACATCAAATTAGTTCAACTCCAGAGATGGGAGCAGGGCAAGCTCCTGGAAGTTCCGGACCACTCAACTTGAAAGCAACCCTCCCTCCAAACCCTAACACATATGGAACATTTATGGAGGCTGAGACCTGTTTTAGGTTGTCTTAGGATCCTAGGATATTACAGCAGGAACTTCTGAGCTATGCATTCCACATGTATTTTATCTGATTATGAGAAAATGGAATCCCAAAGAGATGAAGTGACTTGTCATATGGTAGGTTGTAGCTTTTGGGGCCATGACCCACTCCTGCATTGACTGTATCGTTTCTCCTACTGTAGGTGGGGCCTTTATTTTCCCAACTGGGCCTAGTGTTGTTGGGTTAAACAGGTGCTGTGGAGGAAAGGGAGGAAAGGAGCTTGTCTCAGGCCTGGGGATTGACTCTCCCTTCTCAGGATTTCTGCCAAATTATATAAAGCCTTGAGTCACTAGATCATGCAACACTCGAATCATTTTAGAAACTTTGACTTCCTCAATCCTGGGAGTGTTAATTAGCATGACTCCTCCTCCCCTACCAGTACTGTAATGGTGTAATTCTTGTTAAATGAACACCATGGCTACTGGGTTAGTATTCAGATGGTGTCCCCTAAGTGGTCCCATAATACAGTCCCAAGAGATGATCTAAAGAGAAAACAATAAAAAGAGATTTTATGATCAAATGAGTTTGGGAAATGACGAATGATATGCTCCTCTCTTGGAGATTCACACACACACAACTTTGAATGACTTTGTGTAACAGCATTTCCTAAACATTCCTGATCATAGAACCCTCTGTGTATCGTGTAACATTTGTTACAAGTGTTCCATGAAACATACTTTGAAAAACCTAGTCATCTGCTCTGTTGGATATGTATGCTGGAACTTAAGGCACAGATACATAACAGTGTATTTCTCAGATTACACACCAAGAACAGAGAGAAGGAATCTGCTGAAGGGGAGTGTCCTTTTTCGGGTCTTAACCAAGGAGGAAAGCTGCCGGCCAGGAGGTGGGCTGGACACATGGAAATGCAAATCCCCAGGTGGGCACAGGGCAAGCCCAGGGCCTCTTGGGCTCTTGAATTAAGTCTGCTTTGGTAAGAATAGAAACTCAAAGCTCTTCTCTTTTAAAATATATTGTACACTGAATTTGTTTCTAATTTTTTCCTTTGGCATTTCATAAAAGCTTTTGATAGTTCTAGCCTGTTGCAGCTCTACAAAAGGGCACCAAGGGGAGACTTTTGTTCACCATAATCTATCACCAAGCGGAATATGCTTTTACAAACATGTGCTTGAAAAAGTAACAGTGTTTTACTAGTATAAAGCGAATGGATTCTGATCTGGTGCAGTGGGAAAAAAATGGCCCTGATTAGAACATTGAAGCAGGAATAAGACACTCTTAGGACCAAGCTGACGGAAACAGGCCCAATAATTGAACTGAGAGATTTCCAAAGGGCAAGAGACTCTCATCAAGGCAGTCCTGGTGGCTTCCTCAACCTGGACACCCTCTTTGTGGGTCTAAATTTTGGAGCTGCATGTTTTATTTCACAAAGGTGGAATAATTGCCTCAGCACATTCGTGCAAAAGGTACCACAAACTTAGTGACAGCAGCCTTTTACTGGATGAAATATGTCCATTTCTAGGATGAGCAAGTTAAAGAGAACAATCCTTTGTGATTCCACAAAGATTAAGAGTCCAAAATCCTTAGGTCAGTGATTCTCAAATGGTGGTTTCTGAACAACAGCATTAGCATATCCTGGAACTTCTTAGAAATGCAAATTCTATAGCCTACCCCAGACCAACTGGATCAGAAACTCTGAGGGGTGGGGACAGCAAGCCCTTCAGGGGATTCTGACACTAGCTGAAGTTTGAGAACCACTGTCTTAGTAAAGGCTGAAGTTGCTCTAGCTGGTCTGTGTCAACTTTTCCAGCATCACTGGCTGTTACCTTGAGCCCTGGATTCTCAAAACCTCTTTCTGTCGTCTTCTGTTTCTATTTTCTCCTGGTCCTGGCAGGTGTATTGGCTTCGTCCTTGATCTAAAACGTTTTAGGCCTAATTAGGCTAGGAAGAATGGTGTGCTCCATGTGGCCAATGCAGCTCAATTTTCCTGGCCTCCACTTTGAGTTTTGGTGATCATGCACTACCAGTACCATAATACTTAACAAACTTTATCATTGTCACTCCAGACTCTCAACAGGGGCAGTGATATCTGACATTTTTGGGTCTTTGGACATAATACTATCACAACAGCACAAGCCCTCTGCTTCCACCTCACTCCACAGCCAAACCTATTGATGGTATACCAGAAACCGTCTCCTCTATCTCTGGACAGTTCTTTTCAGTCATCTTCAAGGGATGATCTCCTTGTCTGTCTTTTACAACTGGCCATGCCTTTGGTTCTATTCTCAGCTCTCTTCTAACCATACATATTCTTCCAGGTGAAGTCATCAATGTCTACAGTTTCATCTATTGCCCCTGTGTGCAGATGGTGCTTACTCTCCCTTGTGCCTTCCAGACCTGCATTCCAGCCACCTACCAAACCCCTTTCCTTGGATGCCAAGGTACCTCACATACCGATTCTAAACTCAGTGTGTCAGATTCTGTGTCAGGTGTTTATATGCATCATCTTATTTAAACATCACAATAGTCCTACAGCAGCTATGGCTGACCACATTTTTAAAAAAAATTTTTATTTTACTTCAATTTCCGGGATACATGTGCCGAACGTGCGGGTTTGTTACATAGGTATACATGTGCCATGGTGGTTTGCTGCTCCTATCAATGTGTCATCTAGGTTTTAAGTCAGGTATGCATTAGGTATTTGTCCTAACGTAGTCACATTTTTTTTTTTAATAGATGAAAAAAATTTATCTGTCTGAAGTGGCACAATAGGTAATTTGAAGAGTGAGGATTCAAATCCAGATCTGTTCAAGTAGAAATTACATACTTGGACTTTTCATTACAGCTTATTTATCTCTTTGTAGCTTTGCCACAGCCTCTAGTCACAAAGGGCCAACTATTCTATGCTGTTACTGTTTTAATTAAACTAATCATTTCATTTTTAAGAGAAAACATGGCTAACCCAAGAGGTTTCTATGCCTCTGATCTTACTCTGATCTTTCCATTCATCCTCCACATTGCAGCTAGGGGAATTGATTTTAAAGGAGAATCTGAAGCATGTCACCTATTGCTCCTCCCACAACCCCAATCCTAGCTTGCAATAATCTTTAGTTTTTAAGATAAAGCTTAAAGACTTAGAAGTCTTTTGTAATGTAGCTCCTGACTACTTTCTACTCTTATCTCTTGCCACTTTCTCATATGACCTGAATGCTGGCCATTTGCAGTTTTGTTGAATAGCATTTCTCTGTCATGGTCACACACTGTTTCCTATATACAATGGCCCATGCACTGTGCTAACTACTTTCCTATAGATTATATCATTTAAGCCTCACAACAATCCTGTTCGTAGATATGACCGTTCCTGTTTTAGAGATAAGGAAACTGAGACTCGGAGAGGTTCTACAACTTGCCCGCAGTCATACGACTGATAAGTGGGCTGATATTCTCGATGCATGCAAATACCATATTTATGTCCAAAATGGTATGTCTCTGTTTTGCTGCCCTTATGCCATTTAGCAGCTTACACTGGAGTCTGGGAAACTGTAGGGCTATAGTGACTGACATGCAGTGATTTTTCGTGGTTTGTCATCTGTCCTCTTTGATGGGTCCAGAAACTTAATCATGTCAGACATGATTTACACATGTCAGAAAATTACTAAACAATCTTTGCTGGATGTTAAGTCCATGAAATCCTCTTTTTCATATTGAGAAATAATATATAGTTTGATTTTAGCCTAAATTCAAGATTTGTTTCATTTAAGTTTTCAAGTAATGGGTTGTGGGTCCAAAATTCCCAGACACGTTTGACCTATTCCAACGCCTTTCTTGCATAGTATTTCCAGTGGATGAAACAGTGCTGATTAAAGACTGGAGTCCTAGCATAGTGTCTTTCACATAAGAACTCTGGGATAAAGCTCAAGGGTTTTATTCTGACTGATATTTCCTAAGACCAAAGGCAAATCATAAAGTCTCCTTGTGCTTTGAGAGAATGAGATACCACTCAAAAGAGCTCAGGATCCAAACCAAAAGAAAAATGCACATATACAAAAGTGAACAGAATAGTATTCTTAAGGCTGGAGATTGAAAGAAAAATGAAAAATTTGAAATATACGTCAGACCACTGTTATCATCATCGAAGTCTTCTATTTTCTAAGCCAACAGTGGAATGTCTGCTCTTTTTTATAAATGAACGTTTGATTCAAAAGCAAACCTTAATGAATCTAATATAGTCTGATGTGGCTTGAACATCATGGTGTAGAAAAAAATGCAAAAATATTTCAGTTTCGGTGTACCTTTAATTAGACAATTGGCTATATAATAATGATGAGGTCTATTGCATGGTGTCTTTATAAACAATAAGATCGGTTGGGAAGGTATTTCCATTCATTTTGCACAGTGGAAAACTGAGGGGTGCTTTTCTTACTGTACGTAACTACTAAGGGAAAAGGTTAGTATTGAAATTTAGGCCGTCGAGTTACTATTCTAGAAATCACTTTTCCCACTTCCACGCTATGCTTTTCTAAGTGGAAAATTATTTTGTTGTTTTGAAATTTCTGGGTGACTAATAATGTGTTTCGACACAAATTCTAAGATCACTTCAATGATTTATCTGTTTTTCCAAAGATGTACTTAATTTAATGTCACATTGTATATTTATTATAGTCAATATGTTTCCCTGTATCTCTAGAAAAAAAACGCTCTTCAATATTTTATGTGTTTTATAAATATCATTTATGTTTTACTTGAATATCACATAGCAGCTCATTTAGTGTATTTTTAAATTTAATCACCTAGAGAAAGTAGATATGTTTCCCCTTTATGTGTTAAGATAATTATTTCATTGTAATTCACAATGATCGACTTGATGTGAAAAGTTGACTGGTTGTTTAAGTGGAATAATTTTGACATTTAACAGCTACAGTATACTTTCTTTATCCCAGAATAACATGTCAGAGATTAATTTTAAAACAAATTTCCCTAATAATAGGAATAATGAATGAACAATTGGATCATCTGCATTTACTTCGCTTTTTCACCCTTAAGAACAACTAGTGCAAAATTTAGACTATGCCACAACTGATGTAGTTTCAAAAGATTTATTCTTTGTCAATAAAGGCTCCAGTCCTACAGTACACTTGAAAATGTTATAAAAAAAGGTAAAAAGTTCAAACTACTGATACATGCTACCTTGGGGTGAATCTCAAAAATAGTATACTAAGAGAAAGATGCCAGTCATATAAGACCACATACTACAGCATTCCACTTTTGTTAAGTTTCAGAAAAGGCAAATCTAAAGGGACTGAAAGAAAGTCATTGCCAGAGGCTGGGCACAGGAATGGGGAGTAACTGTCAATGAGTCAAAGTTTCTTTAGGGATGATGGAAATGTTCTAAAATAAGATCATGATGATGGTTGCACGCCTCTGTAAATATACTAACAATCATCGAACTATACACTTAAAACAGGGGAATTTGATGGTATGTAAATTATATCTCAGTGAAGCTTTATAAAAATAGACGCAGGGCTACAAATAGCTTGAGTTAACTAAGACTGATTCTCAAAATAAAATAACGTTTACATCATTTATGTATCAATACCATGTATGTTATTCTCCCAGATCGAATGGAGATACACCATAGGAGGAAGACATGGCCCTGACTCTGAAATTTGCAACCAAACTAAAAATACATATCAGCAAGCAGAAAACAGTATCCCATACACTGAATACTTCAAGCGTTAAGTGAACATGGAGTAAAATGGAATTATTATTTTTGAAACAACGTAAGTTACATTCTTCATTATTCTTTCCTAAGACAAATGCTAGCCAGCCAATAGAATTTTCATCATCGCTTGGTTGTCAACAGAGTTACTGCTCATTGCAAGCCTAGACTCGAAATTCTGCCAACATTTTCTGTTTGAAATCCTATGAAAAAAAGGGGTGTGCATATAATTTTTTATTCTCAGCATATAGTAAGGTATTGGACACATAGAACACACTCAATTTAAAACATTGTCAGTACAAATCAAGATGAATTCACAATCTCCAGTGAATCAAACAGGCATGTTCAGAAGCCACAATTAAATAAGGCAGAACACAGTGAGTACTTGGACAAAATTTTATCACAGCATTAAAAACAAAAACTCAAATTCATTCTGATGGTGCATGGGGATGCACAGAGGAAGTGATGTTTGAATTGGGCCTTGAAGGATGAGTAGAGTAAAAGGATTTGTAAAAGTTTTCAAAAATAGGATCTACTTCATGTTGGTACCCTTGAGATACAAATCTAGAAATGGCAGATTGAAATTCTTCATTTTATTTCAAATGTCAAAATGTTCCAGAAAGATACATAATAAATATCAAGGTTAACCTAAGATCTTAGTTGTTTTGTAATTTAATATGATTGGATTGTGGAAAGAAAAGAATGTTTAGTTAAAATATGAGAAGAGAATAAAGTGGCCATATCTATTTTTTTATCTTCAGAAAAGTCTTCAGACCGTGGACAATGTACTTTTTGCCTGTATTACGGAGAAAGGCGTTCCCTAGGTAAGTATCATTCTGTCTTTCAAAACCTTAAAAATATCAGAGGGGGCAGAGAAACAACTTTTTCTTCTGACATTCACCTTTAAAGCATTGAATAGATGCTTATTAGAGAACTTTTAGAAAATATACTTTCTTCTAACTCAGTGAGATAATGAGCTCACCAGTAAAGATCTAGGCCTGCTCACACTAAGATATAAGTGGTTTGGAAGATTGAAAACTATTTCTGCATCATATAATTAACTCTAAAATTATATAGGAACAAACGCCATGCCATACAATTTTTTAATATCTCTGTCCAAAATGTATAATTTGATTCTAATCATGAGGAAAGGCTAGGTGTGGTGGCTCATGCCTGTAACCCAGAGCAAAGGAGGCCAAAGTGGGTGAATTGCTTTAGGCCAGGAGTTTAGGGCTGCAGTGAGCTATGAGGTCACCACTGCACTCCAGCCTGGGCAACAGAGTGAGACCTTGTCTAAAAAAAATCATGAGGAAACATAAGTCAAACTTAAATTAAGGGACATTCCAAAATAATAATCAGCCTGTATTTCTTCTTTTTTTTTCTGGTTATCTTCCCTTCTTTCCTCTTTTCTACAATTTTGTTTTTTTTTAAATTATACTTTAAGTTCTAGGGTACATGTGCACAACATGCAGGTTTGTTACATCTGTATACATGTGCCATGTTGGTGTGCTGCACCCATTAACTCGTCATTTACATTAGGTATATCTCCTAATGCTATCCCTACCCCAGCCACCCACCCTACGACAGGCCCCGATGTGTGATGTTCTCCTTCCTGTGTCCAAGTGTTCTCATTGTTCAGTTCCCACCTATGAGTGAGAACATGCGGTGTTTGGTTTTCTGTTCTTGTGACAGTTTGCTGAGAATGATGGTTTCCAGCTTCATCCATGTCCCTGAAAAGGACATGAACTCATCCTTTTTTATGGCTGCATAGTATTCCACGGTGTATATGTGCCACATTTTCTTAATCCAGTCTATCATTGATGGGCACTTGGGGTGGTTCCAAGTCTTTGCTATTGTGAATAGTGCCACAATAAACATACGTGTGCATGTGTCTTTATAGCAGCATGATTTACAATCCTTTGGGTATATCCCCAGTAATGGGATGGCTGGGTCAAATGCTATTTCCAATTCTAGATCCTTGAGGAATCACCACACTGTCTTCCACAATAATCAGCCTGTGTTTCTTCAAGAAATATTTCTTCAATGGCATGAATGACAAAGAAAAACTGTGAAATGGTTCCAGACTAACATGAACCTGGAGGACATTATGCTAAGTGAAACAGGCCAGGCACAGAAAGAAAAACACTGGATGATCTCACCTGTATGTGGAATGGACAAAGCTGAAATCGAAGCAGTGTACAGTAGAATGGTGATAACTAAGGTCTGCAGTGGGGAGGGTAGGTAGAATGGGTAGATGTTTGTCAAAGGGTACATGATTTCAGTTAGACAGGACGTCTAAGTTCTGAAGATCTATTGCATAGCATGGTGACTATATTTAATAACTCACTGTATACTTTAATATTGCTAAAATGTTCTCACCACAAAAAGCGAAAAGGATATAGGTGATAGATATGTTAATTAGCTTGATTTAATCATTTAAAGATGTATAATGTGTCAAAACATAATTATGTACATGATAAATACATACAATTTTTATTTGTCCATTATACTGTAGTAAAGTTGGACAGGTGGTGGGAGGAAGAAGCAGACTAAAGAGATAAAAAGTAAATAAATAAAATGAATGATCCTGGCCTGGATCCCAGACCAGAAAATAAGATTGGTACAAAGGACAATTGGTGGTGGCCTCTCCCAGCCCTGTCTAGTGGAATGAAGCCTGTGAAAACCTCTTAGAGACAAGTCCTCTCTCCAGCCCTGGTCCTCACCTCAACTCCTCCTCCAAGGGAGTGGCAGGAAGGATAACTGGTAAAATGTAAAGAAAGTCTGAGGATTAGAAAATAGTATGCATCAATGTTAAACTTCCCAATTCTGATAATTGTGCTATGGTTTCCTAGGATAATTTCCTTAGTTTTAGAAGGTATTTAGAGTTTAAAGGGCATGAGGTTTATAACTTACTCTCAAATGGTTTGCAAATGGCATAATAATATGTATATAAGCAAACACACACATACAGAGAATGAGAAAAGAAATATGGTAAAATGTTAACAATTGGTGAATCCAGGTGAAGGGCATGGGAATTATTTGCACTATGACAACTTTTTGGTAAACCTGAGATTAAAACAAAATATAAAAAGAAATTTATAGGTCTGCCTTAGGAGCTCTTCCAAGAAAACATACAATTTACTTAACCTTGAAGACTTAGTGGTCCTTTGCCACCAATTTTATTTTTCCACTTCAACTCTTAGAAACAGAATCCAACTCAGAAAGTAAGCAGATTTTCAATAAAACAAGTAATAACAAATAGCTTTTGATTCATTAAAAAAGGGAGTCAGATTGATTTGCATACTTTTATTTTTTAGTAGTGATCACCAGGCTTATATTCCTGATATCAAAGGTTCTTAAAAAATCATAGAATGGGCATTCATTTCTTTTTTTGGGAGAACAAATAAGACTCAAGCATAGAATGATCGCTTCAAAGGAAATTTAAGAATGAGCATGTCGTGTGTAACCAGGAAAAGATAACATGAAAGAAATTCCCTATGTCTTGTCATAAATATTAAGTGGGATGAACCCATTGCAGATACCCGTTTCCCTGGAAACCCATTCAATTGAAATTGCTGCAAAAATTAACATGTATTATTTTTCCCTTAAAGGGCAGTAACTTCTTTTACTTACACAGTTTTGACCTTTAGTTTTATATCTTAGTCTTATTATAAGAAGTTGTTTCCAGAACTAGGCAAACAAAGAGTTGAATATGTATCTTTTCATTAGTCCTGAGGCTTAACCAAAATAGTATGGCCTTTACAGCTGTACTAGATGTCTGGGGCAACTACGGGTGGTTGGGGTACAATCTGCCAGTCATAGAATATTCCAATCTAGACTAATAAACCATCAACCCACACATGATATTCTTACTCAAATGCCAAGTGACTTTATCATATAGACAATTGAGTTAAACAGTCACATATGCAGCACAGCTCAGTATTTTAAGAGGCAGTGCAGTTTAATAAAGCCAAGTCCCTTGTATAAGCCCATACTGACAAATGTCATGGGGATAGAGGTTCACAATATACAATAATCCTATGTCAGGTCAGTGCCATGGAGAATAGCTCTGGACCATGGAGGATTTCTGACTCTAATCTTACTTGAAAAGCTCAGCTGGTTCTGAATTTCTGGGACCCTGGCAGTGTGGATAGAGGCTCATATTTGTTCCAGTTCAATCAAGAAGGCTGAACTGGCCAAGACCTGAAAGACCAGTCTGTAAATACAGCTCAAGTAACTGGAGAGAGAAACCAGCCCTGTGCCAGGTGATATGGTTCCCCCATGTATGTGCCTCCTAGTCTGCAATGCCACTATCAGAGGCTACCTTTGGCATGAGGTTGCAGCATCTCCGGGGGTACTCAAAACTCACTCAAAGCCTCCCTGCCCTGGAGAGGTAAGGATGTAAGTCAGTACTGGTCACCAACAGTACTTCAGGGGAATAAGTTTTTTTATGGAAAATGAGAATTTTTCAGAAACTGAAAAGGAAGAAGCCTAGACTTAGTAGAGAACTGAAAATGGGTTTGGATAGCCCGAAGACTCCTATGTGCCTGGGAAAAAGATGTCCTCAAGGGAAGTAAGGACACTGAAAGAGATGGTTTAAGGCAACTGATTTCCCAACTTACCCTGGGACTGATACTATGTTTTCATGATGATCATATCTTGTTTTAGGGGGCTGGTAATGATTTAATGTATTTTTCCTTGCCTTCCCCACAAGCGGAAATACGATTATCATATTGGAGGACCACTTTAAAAACGGAGTACAGATTCATCTCTTTGATTTCTTTGTGGTCAGTTAATCTCTGACTACGTTCTTTGTTGGAGAGAATTATTGATTTAGCCAAGGTTAAATAGCTGGTGAGTGTCAAAGCCAAGAACCAGTGGTCATCTGTCCTAAACATTCTCCTATGTGTTTACTAAGTGCTGGGCAACATCCCTAAGATACCATGCAGCAGGCCAGCTGTGTAAGGTGAGGCCTTTGGGGATGTCTTGATAGCCTATGATCATTACGCCATTCACACATTTGTCTAGATTTGGCTGGAAACTCTTTGTAGTTTAAACCTATGCTCAGGGTCAGCCCTTGACAAACAATGAGATAGGTGACGTTTGTCTTTAGAGCCTTGACAATGAAGTGAGTGCTGCTCACATCCTGACAAGCTGCACAGTGTTACTTGTTACTTGGCAGTCCTGTTGCTTATTATTATTATTTTCTTTCTCTCTTATCCCTTGCTATCCTTACCCTGTTCATGGCCTCCTTCTAGTTCCATTCTTTCCATTGTCTTTATTGGACCCTGGCAAAAGTAAAAGGAATCTTATCCAATTCACCCATTTGGAGAAGGTAATGACTTGATAAGATATTCAGCCAGTAAGTCTGCATTTTGAAAGACAACAATAGGAGGGCAGTGATAGAATTATAAGCGTTCAGGGCAACTTGTAGAAGATGTCCTGGGGAAGGGAAAGACTTTGAATTCCAGTGATCACCTACGATGTCTTTGTAAGGCTGACCCTCCCAACAATACCTTTCCACCTTCTATGCTAGGTACATCAGCCATCCACTTGTGTCTGATTTTGTCTGAAAACTACTTGTTGGAAGAGTCATGGGATTTGGCTATTGCATCTCTTCTGTCTGCGTCCATAATATTCCTGGCTTTAGAAACTTCAATCCTGTCAGTCACAATTTAGTGGTTTTTCTTACATGGGCATGCTACATTCCTAATGTCCAACGTGGTTCTCATAGTCTTTCTGGCTCACTGTAAGAAAAATAACTCCCATGTAGTGAGCACCCACTGTGTCCCATGATATCATCGAAGAGCTTGTTTCTTTCCACAGTTCTATGAGGCAGGGTCCACATTTGACAGATGAGAAAACTGAGGCTCAAACAAACTAAGCGACTTGCCCAAGTTTCAACGGCTGGTAAGTGGCAGCACCAGAATATGACCTCGGACTGTATAAGTAGATACATGCTGACCCCTACTGCTCCCATCATGGCAGGTCTGACCGCCCTGCAATCTTTACCTGACAGTAGAGCAGTATTTCCTCTACAGTTTCAAATTCTTTCCTTTAGGTCTGGAATGTTCTTACCCTTTAGAGTTACAGGGGATTATAACAGTAGAGAGCTCTGACCCTGGGGCCAGATTGCCTGAGTTAGAATTCCAGTTCAGCTACTGCATTTTCCCCTTGATTTCTTATTTAAAGTTTTAAATTTTAAAAGAGTCTGAAAAAAAAATACTTTAGTTGTTGCTATGGACTTTTTTTTTTTTCAACTGTTTATGCCTCTACTAGAGCTGTGCACAGGATGTTTTGTTTTGCTTCCCTTCATTTATATAGTTCAATGTATTTCAAGGTCAGAAAGGGTGGCAAAAACTGGAGGAGGTGGGCACAAGGCTAAGAGGTGTGTTTATATTCTAAGAAGAGTTATCATTGTTTAGTCTCTCCTAAGTGCCAGGCACTATGTTGGGTGCTTTATACATATTATCTTTCATCTTTTTTTCTTTTCTTTTTTTTTGAGACAGAGTCTTGCTCTGCTACCCAGGCTGGAGTACAATGGCGCTATCTCAGCTCACTGCAACCTCTGCCTCCTGGGTTCAAGCGCTCCTCCTGCCTCAGTCTCCTGAGTAGCTGGGATTACAGGCACATGCCACCATCCCCAGCTAATTTTGTTTTGTATTTTTAATAGAGACAGGGTTTCATCATGTTGGCCAGGCTGGTCTTGAACTCCTGACCTCCAGTGATCTACCTGCCTCGGCCTCCCAAAGTGTTGGGATTACAGGTGTGAGCCACCACACCTGGCCTTTTTTTTTATTTAAAAAAATTAAATCCTTCATTGAAATATCTTCCATCTTTACAACAAATCTTAAAGCTCGCTATTATTCCCGTTTAAAACTAAATGGACTGAGGGTTACAGAGGTTAAAAAATTTTCCCTGAGCTGATGATTTAAAGAGCAAGAAATCAACTTACGCCTAACTGTGAAGCGTATGATCGTAACATTAAACAAATTATGCACATCATTATTCATTAATACGTTCATTAATATTTATTAATACATTCTTGTAAAGATTTTTGAATGCAGTTGCATATGGAGTTAATCCTTCTTATTCCACCCTTTTCTTTTTTAAGGTATCTACTGAAACAAGTTTGATGTATATCTGGGAACTTTTTTCTGTGCACATTTGTAAACACACAATTATATAGACTTTTAATGCTATAAGTGGGATTACACTATTCTTAATGCATGCTTACTTTCATTAAGCATTCCTGAAATAATTTCTTTTAAAAAAGTCTGTTTTTAATTTTTCTAGTGAATGCTTTGGATATACCACAATTTATTGGAACATTCCCCAGTGGACAGACATATATATTGCTTCCAGTTTATCAGTAACAAAAACAAAGATGCAAAGAACACTTTTGAACAGACTTGTGCCCTGTGTGAGTATTTCCCTGGGACAGAGTATGATGAGAGGTATGGTTGGGTACATCTGCATCTTTCGGCATGACAGACACTGTTCAGTTGGCCTTGGAAAGCGTGGGGTGGTCTATCCCCTGCTCCATGCTGCATCTCTGAAAACTGAAGTTAGGTGAACCAGGGCCTTGGATTTCTGATAGCTACTTCCCTTTGACATTGCTGTTTCCAGTTTTTTGTTTTTAATTCCCTCCCATCTCGCAGGTAGCTTTTTTTCCCCTTGATCTTCTATTTCTGTCTGCCCCAGTATACTTATGGGGTACTCGTCCCTGCCTTTGAAGTATCAAATCACACAGCTATCTGACATATGCCAAAAGTGGAGAGACAGCCATTGTTCTCATGTTGATTGCTAAGGCTCCCAGAGTGCCCTTGAGGTATATGAATCACTGGCACTCTCAGTTGGGACTGCAGATCCTGATGTATGATGAGTGGGGCAGAGTGGAGAGCAGAGATGGATGGAGCAGATGATAGTACTGGCGGAAGGGCACAAGCTTTTCAATCCTCCACCTTCTAAAATACTTATTCACCTGGAGATGTCCTTGTATTTTACTTAAGGACAAAGATAGCAATCATCTGCTGAAAATGTGAATGTCTAACATGAAAGATTATAATGCACACAATGACTTGCATTTATGTCTCCAACTTTTAAGACACTTTGTTATTTTGGTAAATGAGAATGGTATATCATTTGAAATTGTCATCACTGATTTGATTCATTTTTTTTCTTTATGAAGAGCACGAGTTAATAGTTTTCCCCTTTGCTGACATAAGATATTGTTTAAAAAATTACTTTAACTTGTCTAAATCTTGAGGTCTGGTTTCATAAATTATGATACATCTATAAGTAAGAACAATCTATAGCCAATGAAAATCAGGACTCAGAATATTTAATGACATGGGAAAATGTTCATGATATATTGTTAGGCATTAAAAGCTGGTTAAAATGGTATGCCTAGTCTGATCCCAGGTTTATAAAAAATACACATGCACAGAGAAAAGACTGAAATATAATAACAATGTACAGTGCCTACCCTTGGGGGATAGAACTTCAACTGATTTGAAACCATTTGCAATTTAAAAAATTTGTAGACTTTTTTTTTTTTTCTACCATGAACATATAGGCTTTTATAATGGGAGGAAATAACTTGTTCTTAAAATTATTTTAACTCATTCCCTCTTGCCTTCCTGGGTATTCCAGAATCAGTTTTGAAAATGTTAAGCACAGAGACATTTCCGTGAGATCACTGATGACTGCTCTCCTTTATTCTGAGTCCACCAGGGAGGTGGGTGAGTCCTGCCTTGTTTCTCCCCTTGGGTTTCACGGTTTCAGGAAGGTCCGTGATTGACATAAAAGTATAGAGGCCTGACTGCCTGGGTTCAGCAGGGCTGGTTAGGTCCAGCTCCAGGGATCCACGCATCTGTCTAGAACCCATCCTGTGGGAGGTGGGACCCTGTGGTTCCCAGTGAGAAGTACAGTAGGGCATGAGAGGGTAGAGGGGAGAAGCCTTGTAAGAATTCAGGGGAGGATCAAGGCCTCAGTCAAACAGCGTGGGGTTCTCAGAAGGGCTCAAGTCCCAGGGTGATCTGTTATTAGGCAGTGACTAAGCAGACCTTCCAGTTGGTGACTGAGATAAGCCAGGCCCAAAGAAAGGCCCAACCAAGAATGGAGGGACTCAAGTGGCTCCCCACGTGCACTCAAGGAAGGGGAAAAAAAAATGCACGTTTCCTAAGTGCCCACCAGGTGGCAGACCCTTTCCTGTGCTACGAGTTTAAGAGTATTCTCAAGCACATCATGATACCCAGGTATTAAGAACCTGCACTGGGTTGGCAAGAAAATAGAAGGCTGGGCCCCTCTCTAGAGATTCAGTAATCTGGGTGGGGCCTGAGATTCTTATTTCTACAAAGCTCCAGGTTCTCCTAGTGCCACTGGTTGGTACTCCTACACTTTCAGTAGCACTGGATATATCATCTCAGACTGGGAAGGCAGGAGGAGGACAAGGAGTAGGATGTGGTCCTTATGGCTGAGCAATCAGTTCAAATTGTGATTAAAGTGCCAAGGAAGTGTGGCATGGAACGAGCGGGTGTGGGTGGGTGGGGTGAGTTGCAGAAGGGAACGGGTCACTTGCTCCTGGTTAAAATAGCCTCTGATACTCCAGCAGATTCAACTTGTGGGCTCTGCAACAGAATGTAAGGGCTTCAGAGCTCTCATTCTAATTAAATGTGGTACCAATTAATTCACTTAGGATGCCTATAGCGGACAGAAGCATAGGTATATGCAAGTTAAAATAAAAGCAGTAAGGCTGGGCACAGTGGCTCAAGCCTGTAATCCCACCACTTTGGGAGGCCGAGGTGGGTGGATCAGCTGAGGTCAGGAGTTTGAGACCTGCCTGGCCAACATGGCGAAATCCTGTCTCTACTAAAAATACCAAAATTAGCTGGGCATGGTGGTACATGCTTGTAATCTCAGCTACTCAGGAGGCTGAGGCAGGAGAATTGTTTGAACCTGGGAGGTAGAGGTTGCAGTGAGCCAAGATTGCGCCACTGCACTCCATCCTGGGCAACAGAGCAAGACTCCGTCTCAAAAAAAAAAAAAAAAAAAAAAAAAGCAGTATTCAGAACAAAATGACAAACAAAATCTTAGATAGCTACCAAAAACCCCTAAAGAAACAATATTTAAGAGTACTACAAACATAAATCAGTGATTTCCAAACAATTTGAAGTGAAAGCCTATTTTAAAAATCTGGTCCATTGTGGAGCAATATATGGTTCTACTGCACAAGACTTTTACGTAGTTCAAGCCACACGTGACTGACCAGGCAAGTTTGACAACATCCAATTGTCTATATCCTGTTCAGTGAGACGAATTCACTGATCATGCATTTGGATGCATTTGGATGCCAGTGGCAACGTCAAACTGCTATAAAAGTTCCTAAAGCTTACTCTCAGTTTCTGTATTTGCATCAATAGAAATGGTAATAACCACTTCACAGAAAGGTCCCAGTCCCCAAACCACACTTAGAAGTGCACTGCTCTAGCCTGGCTAGGTGACTGATCTGGCAGATGGGCTCACTGCATAGCTTCAAGGAGTCAATTTGTTCTTTGGATCCTGTTGTGCAGAATTAACTTTTGTATCCTCAGGACTATTTTGTTCGTATCATTTCTACATGGGGTCCTTGGAATAGGGCTAGCTGGATGTTCTTTTGGCCCTGCTGCCATTTTCTTATGCTTGGACATCAAGGACAATATCCTGTATACAGGCACTCAATAAACACAGATGAGTGAATGCATGGATTACTAGCCCAAGACTGAGATGTCAAGCGTGGGATAGACAGCCATCTAGGAAATAAATGCTCAACATGGATGAACATCAAAATAGAACTCTCTTCATAGTAACTATACAGAGCTGACAAGCAGAGCAGATGGAGAACCAGCTCTATAAGGAAAGACTGTATAATCTTGTTGCTGTCCTGGACTCACTGCTGCCTCACTCAATACATGTGCCCATTCTGAATGAATGATATTTAGTTTATAAGTTTCTTGGACCATGATAACATAGGTTTCCTGGTGGCATTTTCATGCTGAACCAAGGCATTGCCTCATGACTATGTCAAGGTGAACCCTGGTGGTTACTCTGGAAAACATGGGAGACTTATTTTAGTTGTTTTCCTGTTAATATTAGAATCTTGAGGAAGGACTTTAATAATTTAATTATATTCTCTTATTACATCTCTGACTTTCAGTGAAAAAGAGTTGAATGAATGCAAAATGAATTATCCACTCTAACCTCCCTGAAACCTCATGCCCCACCCCACATCCATCTGAAAGTCTCCTCTTGCTTCATTCCTTACCAGGCTCACAGCATGATTCAAGGTATTTTTATGACTTAATGATGCATAGCTAATAATAATGATGACAACAATAATGACAGCTGCTATTCAGAGAGCACTATAAGTCAGGTACGTTGCTAAATGCTTAAATACATCATCTTATTTAATTGTATTAATCTTATAAGTTTGGTCAAGCACAGAAAGTAGAAAGGCTAGGATTCTAGCTCAAATAGATCAGTCTCAAATATTTGTGGTCTTAACCACTCTACTAAGCATCTTGTATGCAAACAGAGACTGTTTCCTTTTGCTTTTAAGATGGCCAACAAACTGAAATGTGTGGTGTTGGAAACTAGATATGTAAGGCCAAGGTTTATTTTAAATGATAGAGACATAGATGGACTCTATGAATAAATAAGTGAATGAATATGGGTATCAATTGTGAGTGAATTAAATTGGGTTTATGACATTATTAGATCACAAGGATGCTAGAGTTATCTGTTGGCATTTCACTGTAAACTGACATGGTTTTAGTGCCAGCCCATATAATTTGGAGATACAATCTGGTCACATATGCTAAGACTAAATCTCAATTGTATTGCAAAGAAATGTATTTTGTGCATGCACACATGTGCACGCGCGCACACACACACGTCCTACATCCTGACTCCTTTGAAAAACTTTATTTTGCTTTTTTTCTAAATAGCCCTTTCAATTTCTCAGATCTCCTCAATTATATATATAAGAGAGTCCAAATAGAAACCTTTCCAAAGGGACATGTATAGTTTTGACTGCCCTCAAATCAGAGCTCATAACACTATTTCACTATTACTTTTGATTAACTCTATTTCCAACTGAAACACTCCATTTCCCAGGTAAACTGGTAGTTCCTAGGAGCTTTCAAAGTATTTTCAGAAAACCTAAAAGACCAGTTCTTTTGTATGAAGGATAAATATAATCATGTGTATATGTTCAAAGTAGAACAGCTGTGTAAGTCCTTCAGGGCTTGTAAATGGGAGTCTTTGTAAACTTTCATTATTATATGTTGGTATATGATTACGAGATTTTCAAAACACAATTTTAAACTTTACCATGAGTCACAATCCATAAAGAAAAACTAAATAGACCCTCCTTTAAAAAAAAAAAAAAAAGCCCACTAAGCTGAAAAAGAATGGGAAATTAAATGAACTTAGGCATTTAAAGATACAAATTGGTCTCTTGGACATTGAAAGACACAAATTGATTTAAGAAGCAAAGATTTTGGGGAGCCCTAAGACAATAAAGCGATCAGGACGAAGACATCTGTCAGGGCGGAGGCGACCTGAGGTAAAGAACAGTTAAATCTAATGCAATCAGGAACTTAGGCCAGTTTAATGTTTTTTTTTGCCTTATGAGGTGACAACCTCCTAACACCATAATCTCTCCTTTCAGGATGATGACACAAGGATTTAATGAGTAGAAGACAACAACTTAAAACCTCTCATTTGAGCATGACTTGTCTAGGTTAAAGGTGGGCATTGAGATCCCATTAGCTACTGGCACAATTGCGAAAAGAAATGTACATATGCACAGACACACTTTAAAGCAAGACGTCATAAAAATACAGCGATGCCTGTTTCAACTCAGACCCAAAAATGGAATTAAAGCCAAAACTAACCCCTCTACTAATTAGAGAAGTAAAAATGTCGTCACCCCAAGTGTCCCAGCACAACGTGAATCCAAAACAAGCTGCTTTCTTTGGATTCCACTTATTTATTTACTTTAAAAAGAATATTTGAAGAAAATGACGCCCAGTAAAAGAACAGTTGGAGAAAACATGGGACGCCATACATTGGAAGAGAAATGGAGACGGAGTACACAGTTACAACACGGTTTTTTTTTTTTTTTTCTTGTTGTAACACATGATAATGGGCTAATAAAAATCTGGTTACCTTTACATTTCTTCTCCTCTGTTTGGAAGGTCTGGGCACTCGAGACACTCTGGTCGTTCACATCATCATGGTCCAGATGGAATATTGAGCTAGTCCAAGTGGCCTGGATGAGATGTGGCGACGACTGTTCATTTTTCAATGTGCTGCGCCTCTCTGAATGGCTCTTCCTATGTAGACAGGCTTCAGACATTCCTACTAGCTTCCAGTCGTGTTCTCGGTCTGGACAGTGCTTCGGTTTGTCCCAGGCTGTAAGGCCATTTTCTAAAGGGTTGAAAAACACGAGATGACGAGCTGTTGGCATTGTCAAGATTTTGCTGAGATGCAGAGTTTTGGAAGGCAAGTTGTGTCTCAATTCTTTTGGGGCTTACAGGATTCACACGCCACTTGACGGTAGTGATAAGATGCAGAATTTGTCAGCCTTGGGCATTTAGCCACTGCAGTTGGATTGCCTGTCGGAGTAATCAACACATTCCCCCTTATTTTAAATGCCTAGAAAGACATTAGTTCTCGCATGGCAAGGCTGTACTTTCGCCAGTCCCACTTCCACAGCAATGGCCCAGGAGCAAGTTTACACACCAATTTATGTTACTGCTTAGATGACCATTTGAGGTCTTGAGGGTCAGGGCTGGCCGTGAACACTTTTCAGATCCTTAGGACATAAAACACCCAGGATTCAGCCTTGTTTGACTTGGGTTTTATCACAAGCTGACCTGAGGGACACCCTGTTACTTAAATGGGACGTGCTCACGTGGCCACACCGAGAGTGGCAACTCTGTTTTTACCACCTTCTACCTCTGATGGCCTACAAAAAGAAAAAAAAAAAAAAAAAAAGAAGGGGATCTTACAAATAGAAGTTTTGTAAAGGGCTTCAATATAGTCCCAAGTTGGCAATAAGAACCGATGAAGGAAAGCAGATAGTGCTTTAGCTGTGGGACAAATTAAGAGCCCTAATGATAGAATGATGAACTTAAAGTCTTTGGTTGGAGTGCAGCTGGTTAATTATTTATGTATATTATATATATTTTTTCTATTCAATTTATAGGGACTTGAGGGTTTGGCTTATAGAAAATGGGAAAAAATGTAATGATATGATGAAAAATTTCTGACACTAACCTTCCCCGGTGGCAAATTTTACTTCCTTAAATATCTTTACTGTACATGGATATAGAGAGCAAAAATGAGCAAGCTAATATATACACACACACACACACACATATTTGTATGCATGTTGTACACATTAAAAAAACATAATCCATCTGGTCATCCATATTTTCAGAAATTCTTAAGTTACTGTTTGTCAAAATTAGAAAAAATATAACATAAATATGTCAGTCCTCCTTTTCAGAGTTTATATGGTCTCTTTAAAGTGATCATAATTCACAAATTTATATGTGAATTTTTTTTAACACTGAAATTACCAGAAGACCATGGATACCCATATCCCTGGGGCTTAGAGAGACATGTCTATCCTGACCTGTGCATAGCACAGTGAATTTTAAGCTGACTTTCAAATATTTAAAGTGAATTTTAAATTATTTAACATGAGGGTTAAAAATGCTTTAGGTTTTCATAAGCACCCTCTCGAAAGCTACCAGATGTCTTCAGCTAATGTTGGTTAGGATGGTTTCTCTAAAAGTGTAAATTACTCAGTCACTTTGGAAAGTTGCATTTACCCTTCTGGGTTTTCATGTTACTACGAGAAAATTCCAATGCCCATGCACACTGTATTCCTACTCCAGGAGAAAACCATAAACAATAGTAACAAAGTAATCATCAACACATGATTCCTTTGTCATAGTAAATGGAAATGCTGTGGCTTGAAATAGCTTAATTTGGCCAATAAGCAATAAGTCTCCTTTTAAAAATTGTACACTGTGCTAACTTTTGGGTGTAACATTTGATCTTATTCAGAGAAGAGCTCTGAAAATTCATTCTATGCAAAGGGCTGTGCTAAGCATTGTATGGGGTACATTATATAAACATAGATTCTTCCTTTTCAGAGTTTACATGGCATTATTCATTGCATGGTAAATCAAAAAGCTGTGGACTTCTACCACTTTCGACTGTGCTAGCTACTGGTGCAATTACAGGCACTTATTCTCACTATCCATTAAAAGGCAACAACAGATTGAGATCTTGGAAAGATTGTATTGCATTTCGAGCTAAACATATCCATGTGTAACTCATTCAAGTACCATTATCCATAAGGGCTTGAGGTTTTCATGTGCTAAATATAAAGTTACTGAGGGCAGGGGTTAATTCTGGGCCCAACGAGATTCATATTATTTCCACAGACATGAAAAGTCGTCTCACCATGCATGTTTTTATGGTGCCTGCTTTATTTTCAGAGACTCTAAATCCTCAGCAAATTGCATCTCGCAAAGCTTAATGTAAATAATGTTAAAGTTCTCAAACTATTTGAAAAAGGCTTTAAGATTTGATTTTTCCATAGAAATTCCTAAAATTTGGCATTAATTCCCTTGACCCCACAGAAATTAAGAAATACAGCCAAACTGGGTAGTCATTACTCCCTAGGGAAACAAGGCTTGGCTGAGACATGCTGAAAGGGGCTCCACTCCAAGAGGACATTTCCCCTTAAAGCACAGCCTATTAAAGCTTGCTTAGCATGTCCCTTGGGTCAGCAAGAAGGGGGTTTCTTGTAAGCAAGGAAGGCTACACTTGGGGTGAGGCAAGGGATAGGATTGCTTTCCATTTTCCAAAGAAAAGCAGCCGAGATGGTTTGGGAAAAGGGCTTCATTCATGGGAGGCATTTACAAGCTCATAATTACTGTCTGTAATTACATTCGCAATAATGATATTCAGTTGCTTAATTGGCAGGTTTATTGGTTGGGGCACTGCTGGGAAACCTGGAGACTGAGAAGTCCCGATTGGGTCATGAGAAAGCTCAAGAGGAATTTATTTCAGGAGGATTCTTGATTTTTATCCTAGCAAGAACAGCGGGGCAACATGTAATCCCTATTCCATTCCCAAGGAGGGATGAGACACCCATGACACTGGGGTCCTGAAATTCTACCTACTGGATATACTGTTGTTGGTGAGACCTACAAGTTACCTCCACATACCTGTGGTTGGCAATGATGGTCTTTAGTAATTTCCTATGTCTAACGCCTATCTCCTTTTGTTCCTTCAAAACTCACACAAATGGGATATTTCTTTTTAGGAAGATTAACATCCCCAAAGGTTAAGTCAGTGATTCTCAAACTTTGATGTGTATCAGAATCATCTGAGGTGCTACTAAACAACACTGAAGACCAGACTTTTTGAAGTTGGATAGGGTGAGGGCATGCATAGAGCTATCAAGTTCTCCAGGTGATTGCGATAGCCAACAGAGTTTGAGATCCACAGGGTTAAGATAAATTTAAGGTAAGAAAATAAATTAGTGACAGGTTTTGAATAAGTCTGTGGTTTCCTCAGACTCCAGTGTTTTACACAACCTCAGAGTAAATTTTCATTATCATTCAAAAATTCATCCATTGTTTTGAGGTCTACTGAGTGAAGCCTTAAAAGTTAGGTGTTAATTAGATATTATCTTGTAGATTGCAGGTATGGATGTAAATAAGTATTTACTCAAAAAGCCTGTTGTCACTATGGAAAACAGTGTGGAGATTCCTTAATGAACTAAAAGTAGGTCTACCGTTTGATCCACCAATCCCACTGCTAGGTATCTACCCAGAGAAAAAGAAGTCATTATATGAAAAAGACATTTGCACACACATTTATAACAGCACAAATTGCAATTGCAAAAATACAGAACCAGCCCAAAAAATGCCCATCAATCAACTCATGGATAAAGAGAATGTGATATATATATATTTATATATATATATTATATATATATATATTTATATATATATATTTTATATATATATTTATATATATATTTTATATATATATATTATATATATATATATATATATATATGGAATACTACTCAGACATAAAACAGAATGAAATAATGACATTCATAGCAACCTGGATGGAAGTGGAGACTATTATTCTAAGTGAAGTAACTCAGGAATGGAAAACCAAACATCATATGTGTTCACTCACATATGGGTACTAAGCTATGAGGATGCAAAGACATAAGAATGATACATTGGACTTTGGGGACTTCAGAAAGGGTCAGGGTGGTAAGAGATAAAAGACTACACACTGGGTACAGTGTACACTGCTCGGGCGATGGGTGCACCAAAATCTCAGAAATCACCACAGAAGAACTTATTCATGAAACCAAACACCACATGTTCCCAAAAAACCTATTGAAATAAATAAAAAATTAAAAATAAAAGCCTGTTGTTCTGAGCATTATCTGGGACACAATGCACACAGTAGTAGAAGTAATTTTTTTTAAAAAACGGAGCATTCTAGAAATGATCATATTTTGTTATTCACATAAATCATGAACCGTTTACTCTTAATGAATCCCAGTTAACATATGACTTTCAATACTTCCCATTCTAGACATCAACACAATTAACCAATGTAATTAGTTATGATGAATTAAAAATAAGTAGAACAAAAGAAAATAATAACTACATAGGGACATGTGAACTCCTTTGGTTTGTGTGTCTCAAGGGAGTTTAGACTTGAATGATTAGGTTTGCATTCGATGACCATCATTCTGATGGCTTTGATTGACACAACACTGATCCAAAGGGTTCTTTTCCAAAAGAGAAACAAACATAAATTTCATTAACATAACTACTTACATCCTATCTCTGGAAATTTCATTAAAGATGATAGAAAATAAATCTGTCCATCAAAAAAGGAGAATTAGATTAAAATATTCAAGTATTTCAGGACACAAGAGCGAGCTGATACCTTAGAAAAGAGCTAAAGCAAAGGAAATAGGATTATGACAAAGTGGTCAGATAGGGTAAGCTGTGTAGGCTGGGATTTCATGGCACTCATTGCAAGAGTTTAGCTTGCATTAAAAGGCCATTCATATTAGGTACTGAGACTGACGGCAAACCATATTCTGCAT